GATCCCAAACTCTGACACATGAAGATAAACAGAAGTACTCTCTCCTACCTTTTAAAATATTACATAGACTAGAACACAGAGCAGGGTTTTTAAGATCGACACCAAGCTTCTGGCTATTTGGTTATACATATGTTCATATATTCTGACAATGACTGAGTGAGGCATATAGAGGAACGTCATTAATATTCTTTGGTTATTCAAGGCCTGTGATCAATCAATGTCAGCAAGTGTTCTTTCTGAAAGTGAGTCTTGTCTCTGAGAGATTAATTTATAGGAGGGGGAGCATATCAACAAGTTTCCCCCTTTCCCAATGAAACACTGACTTCTCCTCCCTCTTACTCATCTCGATTCAGTCTCTGACCCTGGGACTATGGACATGCACATCATGCCTTTAGACAGGGAAATCCCTCAAGTTGGTTCTCGGTCCCAAGGGCCCCAGAGGCCGTCACTCACAGATGCCTCTGTCTCTCCGACCTTGGCATGGGTGTCTAGATGACCACTGTCCTGGCTCTGTAAAGGGAAACCATTGTATGCCTCTGCCTGATGGTAGAGTAAGAACACAGAGATGGAATTCAGAGGTGGCAGCTGAGAGACGGCAACGTCGCACACCCGATCCTCCCTGCCTCACTCCGCTCCCCCCTGCCTCACTGGGGTTTCAGGAGGAGGCCGTGACTTCTCTCAATGAGCATTCATGAGGGAACAAGCCAACACAAAAAGACACTCAGTGGGATTAGCATAAATAAAGATTTCTTTCTAAGTGTTATGTGTGGGCCATTTTTTTCTTACAAGACTGCTGTGATTCAAGTAAAGTCTTCTGACCAATTTTTAAAACCCAATTCTGGATGAACACAGGCTTTATAAACACTCGATATTATTATACAAGCTGTAGAAAGAAAGAGTTGCCACCAGACAATCATAGCTTTGCAAGATTCCGTTTTTAAATTGGGGAGCAAAAGTTCCACACATGGAACAGGCTAACTATAAGACTTAAGTCACAGGAAAATGCAAACAAACAAAGGAAATCCCACAAAGATTAGAGAGTGCAGACACTTAGGTGTCTCATCCAGCAGACACCTGTGGCTGAGACAAGGGCAAGTCCACTTATAACACTCCTTCCCTTGAGCTGTGGTTCTCAAAAGCGTGGTCTCCAGACCAGCAGCATCAATATCACCTGGGAACTTCTTGGAAATGCCCGTTCTTGGGCCTCTTCCAAGACCTACTGAATCAGAAACTCTGGGTGGGGCCCAATAGTCTGTGTTGTTAAGATCCCTCCTGGGGATTCTGATGTGTGATCAAGTTTGAGAAATGCAAGTTGGTAAGACACAATCAGTCTCACAAGATAGTTAGGAAAGGGTTTTCCTTCCCAAAGAGATTGAGTCCTTAGTACCCAAAGACATCTCAGTAGTGGGTTACCTTCTCTCCTGTGCATCAAGGATGGTCCTGAACTGAGAGCATCCTTGGAAAACTAAGAAAGAGCCATTCAAATAGTCTTCTGTATTCTGTGATTCAACCCCCAATGACACTGTCCCTGCTGTCCACACATCAGCTGCTAAGCCCTTTGGTTAGAGCAGCACCCACTTCCTGGCACCAATTTCTATATCAATAAAGAAAACCTAAGTTATGCTGTGGTAACATATTACAGCCTAACATCCCTAACTTAATGTCATCAAGATTTATTGTACTGTCTATAATACACCTGTAACACAGGTCAGCACTGGACTGCTACTCCCTGCAGTCCCTGGGGCAGCCAGGCTGATTTCCACCTGCACACTTGATTCCATGAGCACCATGATGGGGATAAAGAACCTGAGGAGCTGCACACTGGCTTTGAAAGCTCCCATCTGGAATGAATACGTCATGTCATTTCCACTGAGGTTTCATGGGCAAGGCAGGTCACACGGTCATGCCTACAGTCAAAAGTGGAAACAGATCACCAGCCCAGGTTGGATGCATGAGACAAGTGCTCGGGCCTGGTGCACTGGGAAGACCCAGAGGAATCGGGTGGAGAGGGAGGTGGGAGGGGGGGATTGGGATGGGGAATACATGTAAATCCATGGCTGATTCATGTCAATGTATGACAAAAACCACTTGGAGGGGGGATCGGGATGGGGAATACATGTAAATCCATGGCTGATTCATGTCAATGTATGACAAAAACCACTACAATACTGTAAAGTAATTAGCCTCCAACTAATAAAAATAAATGGAAAAAAAGAAAAAAAACAATATACAAAATGCATATAGTAATATCTTTAAAGAGTTTACACTTTATCCCAGGTTAGAAACTCTTGCCACACTTAGAGATGTGGAAAGATATGCCTTTAAAAAAACTTGAATATGTGCCCTGTGAATGAATGAAACAAAAACCAGCAATCAAAATCAACAGATGGATGATATTTAACTTTCAGGGACCAAACACATGCAAACCTAAACAAAGAAAGAATCTTCACTTAGAGAATTTGACTAGACCTAGGAAATCTTATAGCCTATCTCAGCATTGTTAATTGCAGGGTCTGCTATTATATAATTCAATGTAAGTACTTTTAGCTTTTTATAAATCCCATAGTTGCCTACTGCAATGATCTCTAGGATGGGTTGGGCGTACAGTAGTTTTGTAGCAATAAAGAACTGTCTTGTTGAAAAAAAAAAGATTAAGAGGCCTCTTAGTAAACTAATGAAAGCCTATTGTGAACAACAGGGCTTGTCAATGAAGCAAATCAGATTCCAATTTGACAGGCAGTCAATCAATGAAATAGACACAACTGCACAGCTGGAGTTGGGAGATGAAGATACAATCATATTCCAGTAGCAGACAGGAGGTGTCTACTAAAAAGGGAACCTGCTACTTTACTCTAGAATTCTGTTCTCCCAGACCAAGAAGACATTCTCAATTAGAAAACTGCAATTTGGTTCCACCACATTCTGACTACTACAGTAATAGTTTCTCTATTCTTTCATTTCCCCTTCCTCATTCATTTATTGTACATAAAGTAACTGGTGTATGTATACAAACATATTGCATTTTTTAAAAACTAAGTGGCCAACGGTATGTTTTGATAAACATAAAATGGAGATGGGATAGGGAAAAACATCGATTCTGTGAAAATACCCCCTTTTCTCCATTAGTGGCTAGCTCATCAGCTCTTATCTTTATATTCCAGTAAGTTATTTTGCTCTCACTGTTTAACAAAAAAAAGAACAACATAAAAATTCTTGCATACCTTGTTCGATTGGAGAATTTTAATGTTTTTCATTTATCAGTGTAAAACCAAGAACAATTTTATAACTTTTTAGTACGTAGCTGTTACATGTAGGGCAATCTGTCTTTAAGCAGGGATAAATTACTCTAAAAGAAATGAATCCTGTGAAAGAAAAATTCAAAACGACTCCACTTTAGATAGCACTGCCATTCTGAGTAAAAACCCCTCCTGAGAAGAAGAAAAAAACTTTTTCAAANCAATTTGGATCAGTGCTTATATGCTGGGAGATTAAGTTATTATAAATATTCTATTATTTAATTACTACAATAGGCCTATAAGGTAAGTCTTAGTACTTTTATTTCTTAAGAAAAACTGAATCAGTTTAATTTTAATAAGGGCTAGTAAGTATGATAATAAAATTTTATGTTATTTCAAAGCCCAAGCTCTTAATTGTCCACAGTGGTCCCCCACTAAAGCCTGTGACCTATAAGAGCAGCCTAGCTGTTGTTTTAGCCATTACCATGACTGGCCATTGCTTCATTAATGTCTCTCCCTCCTACCCCACATCTTAAGGAAGCTGGCTTCTACCTTTTCTTGGCGAGTATTCTACTGAAAGAACACCTGTGCTAGAGAAACATTGTCCTAGGCCTAATCATCTGTCTTTTGCACTTAGACAAGAAATGTTGGATGTACCTCATAAGTTTATGTATTCCTTTAATGACCTGTTAGGAATTTGTTCTTTATATGATATTTTTGAAGATTTACTGGGATAAAGATACTTTATGTACATATGTATATTTATACACATAATTCTATGTATGTGTACATGCATGCATGTGCATATGAGTATGTATATATATACCATTCCCAGATTATATGCTTTGTCATTTCACTGGGACAAGCTACTACCCTTCTATAATTTGATGTATACTCTGTATAGTAGTCTGCTCTAATTTATAACATATACTTCTCCAAGAAAAGATTGTTCCTTCGCTATCCTAGGTCAATTTCTTATCATGAATTTGAAACTAGTTACAAAGAAAAAGAACAGAAAAGTACATGGTATGGCACATACTGTAGAGAGTGTGTGTGTGTGTGTGTGTGTGTGTATGTGTGTGTGTGTGTGTGTCTTCAGTCCTGTCTGGCTCTTTTTGACCCGTGTGTGTGTGTGTGTGTGTGTGTGTGTGTGTGTGTCCTCAGTCCTCTCTGGCTCTTTTTGACCCGTGCGTGTGTGTGTGTGTGTGTGTGTGTGTGTGTGTGTGTATGTCCTCAGCCCTGTCTGGCTCTTTTTGACCCCATGGACTATAGCCCACCATGCTCCTCTGTCCATGTAAATTTTTAAGCAAGAATACTGGATTGAGTTGCCATTTCCTCCTCCAGGGGATTTTTCTAACCCAGAAATCGAACCAGCATTCCATCTTTAGGTCGATCAAAAGGGTGGATTCTTTACCACTGTGCCAAATGGGAAGCCCTATACTGTGTTTTACCTTAAGAGAAAGACCTGAAAATAGAAAGGCTATCCTTAATAAGAACAGCTGTCCCTAGACATGGCTTCCTCTGCTAGACAGGTTTCATTCAGAAACTCATACTTTTTTACTTTTCTGACCCATTTCCAGTAAAGGGTCTTAAAAATGGTCCCATATAGCACAGCCTGAGTATAAAAATGTTCTGCAAAACGAGATGGGAACTGGAGTGGTCTTGCCAGCCAAGTCTAGGAACTTGAAAAATGAGACTGGATAGGTCCATTATTGTTCATCTGAAGGGCACAAATATGTACACAGGACATTGACACAGCTTATACTTTTCAGTAATCATAGAGCAAATCTTTATTAAATTATGCAGGACACTTAAATAGTTGTTTTACAGTGACATTTAGTTTTACACAATGATCTTAAAAGTTAAGGCACAGTTTTAAACCCTAGTTTGTATTTAAGGAAAAAGAAGCTTGGAATTTTTTCATCATTACACACCTTGTAAAAGTCAAGACAGGATTAGAACTCCAACACTCTGAACATAAAATTGTTATTCTGTATACAGATATTGCTGTGTTTTCCTTTCCATGACCCTTTGATAAACTGAGTGTGTCCTGGGCAACAGACATTCACTCAAATAGTTGATGGTAGTGGGTGGGGAGTGATTGTAGATTGTCCTGGATATCATAGATGGTGGCAGACAGGCTTTGCCATGTTTCTTTATGTTGGTGATCAAAAAAGAAATATATGGAGGATTATGAGGGCAAAGATGTTATACCATTACTGTTTTGTCTTTAGAAGGGATTAGAGGTCTCTCTTTGAGAATACAAAAGAGAGTCGATGGGTAAATAAGCATGTCTGCTAACTCAAAGCAGATTCATTCTGCATCCCAAAGAGGAGCACAAGTTCTAAAGTAGAGATGGGAGGCTGGAAGGAAGAGATGGTGTGAATGGCACAGATGGGCTCAGGTATAGAAGATGAAATCCAAGGCAAGTGTCACTATCAGAAGTGGGAAAGGGAACAGAAGTTTCAGGAACTTGGAGGGCACAGTGTCATGGGAGCCGGACAGTCCCAAGGATTGAAATATGGATAGGCATTCCGAGAAAAGTTGCATTTAGAGAACTTATAGATGAGTGACCCATGGTTTGTGACATTGAAAAATGAGACAGTGCCTGCTTCATAGTCTAGAAAAACACCAACATGACGGGGAGGAACAGTCATGGAAAGAGTCAAGACTCTTGAGTCAGGATGAGCAGTGGAAGAGTCCTCAAAGGCTTCATACCTAAATTTGTCCTTTAACCCTATAACCCAGTAGCCAAGTTGAGGTCTGTATATGGAGTAAGCATTTTCACAATTCGTGCTTCCCTGAACAGCAAACTTTATATTACAGGAATGTATTCTACAGTATACCCCTAGGATCCAGGCAGTCTTCTTGGATACATCTATTTCCCAGTAGTGTTTCCCTGATGAGAAATATTGGGAGCCCAAGACACCATAATTATAATTCTTAAAAGGCCATATTGGCACAGATAGTACTTGTCTCTGATCTTCTGAAAGGACAAGATTCAAATTTAGGTTGAGGGGATTCAATGTGATGTCCACTGCAGAGGAAAAAAAATATCAAAACATGCAATAAATATAGGGTAAGCTTATCCAGTGACATTGTGAAGAGGGAACTTGGGAATTGACTATGAAGAACTTGTGTTAATGGACTGGGGAAAGGGGTTCAAACATTACAGTGACATATTATATGTATGTATCAGGAAGTGAACACGTGGGGCTATGACCAAATCTAATCGAAACTGCAAACTTCTGAAATGGGGTCAGAACACAGTAATTTGAAGACCCAATAAATCTTCTTACCCCAGTGGCACTGGACGCGTGTTAGCTCTGAAATGACAAAAGATTTAATGATGTTGATTGATGTAAATGGCTAAGCACTGACACCAGTTCTTTTCTAGGGTGAGGGCAGGGGGTAGGACCACTGTGAAACTATAAAGTGGTGAATGAGAGGATGAACCAGAAACCTAGCCATTCTCCCCTTTATATGACCACGTCCTCTTCAGCAATACCCCTTCTCTGAACACCTTCCTTCTTTCTACCCCGACTTGTGCCCAAATTTAGTCCCTGGCACCACAAGAATCCCATATCCACACTCCTGCCCTGGCTTCCACACCTTTAAACATGTGCAGCATTCCACGCAGATCTGGAACCCGGAATACATTCTTCAGTTTCTTGGAAACCATTTTTGGCTTCTTCAGTGTCCAGATCTTACTCCTAGAGATGAGAAAAATGTTGACCCTACATCTCTTACATTCCATCCTTTTAATACCACTGCCTTCCTCTCCTTCCATGCACTGATGCACTTAAACCTTCCTCCCTGAGAAACCCGAGGAGGGGAGACGTGAGGGCTCTGACACTGCAGACAAAAGAAATGTGCTCATGTCTACCTGCCCATTTAGGAAGAAGACCTTCACTTAAAAAAACAAAATAAAAACCTGTCTCCTTCTAGAAATGGAATATATTAACCCTTCTTTTGATACTTCATGGAATGAATATGAAACTAGGTGAAATACTGTATAGGAAAGGCTTTTGCTACCTCTGTGTTGTGCTGTGTTCTGCTTAGTTGCTCAGTCATGTCCAAATCTTTGCGACCCCGTGGACTGTAGCCCATCAGGCTCTTCTGTCCATGGGGATTCTCCAAGCAAGAATACTGGAGTGAGTATTCCTCCATGCTTTCCTCCAGAGTCTTCCCAACCCAGGTCTCCTGCATTGCAGGTGGATTCTTCTTAGAGAAATAAAAAAACTGAATAGACCTAAAACATGAAGAGATTGGACTGAAAATCAAAAACTTCCTCCAAAGGAAAGTCCAGTTCTAGATGGCTTCACAGGTGAATTCTGATAGTTTTAAAGACAAAATAATACAAATACTTCACAAATTCTTCCAAAAAACAGAAGAGGAGGAAATACTTCCCAACTCATTCCATGAGGCCATGAGTCTAATACCAAAATGAGACAAAGATATTACAAGAAAAGTAAACTACAGGCTAATATCCCTTATGAATATAGACATGAAACTTTTTCAATGAAACACTAGAAAATTTAAGCCAGCAAAATATAAAAGATTATACATCATGCATCCATGCATGCTAAGTCAATTCAGTCATGTCTGACTCTTTCCGACTCTACGGACTGTAGCCTCCCAGGCTCCTCTGTCCATGGGATTCTCCAGAAAAGAAAAGTGGAGTAGGTTGCCATTCCCAAGATCAAACCCAGATCTATTATGTCTCCTGCATTGGCAGGCAGGTTCTTTACCACTAGTGCCACCTGGGAAGCCCCATTATACATCATAGTCAACTTGAATTTATCCCAGAAATGCCAGGTTGCTTCAACATTAGAAAAGCCATCAATATGAGTGAAAATAAGCTTGATAAATATTTCAAAGGAGCCTCTTAGGGACAGCAACAGGATTAGAACCCAAGGACACAGATGAGAAGGTAACTGACATGGGTTCAGAACCACAGGTTGGATGGCCCTCCTCACCTGCAGCAGCTCCACAGTTGACCATTCACTGCGGCGCTCCAGATCTGAGATGAGCTCCTTCAGCACCTGGCCCTGCTGAACCAGCTCAGCCTCAGCCATAGCCAAGCTATCCAGGGTCTTCTTCTCCTCTTCCTCCAATTTCTGCAGTTCTCTTTGCTCCTCACTGTCCAGGATGCTTCTAAGCTGATTAAACTCTGTTTGTATCCTTTGTCGCTCAGTCTGAATCTGATACTGTAAGGTTGGACAAGGGGAAGAGGGAATGAATCTGTCAGCTGGATAAGGGATTAAGAGCCAGAAAACTATTTTTCAGGGGCTTCTTACCAGGAGGGGAGTTAAAGTAGGCAAGCAATTTTGGGGAAAGCTCAGCTTTTTAAATTTTTGCCTATTATCTTCCCTTCAGTACAAATCAAAAAGGTCTCAGACAATCTTATCTGCCAACTCTGGGCCAAAATGTAAAGCCCGAGTGAGGTTTGAGTTGTGGATAGCTGTCCTAGACACTCATGCCTCCCTGCATTACTGCAGTCCCTAAGTTTGAATCTTGAGAAAAAGCTCAGTCTTTTGCCATTGTCTTCCATTGAGGGTGTCTTGCAGGAGGAATGAAGGACAGAAGTCTCCAGACTTCTTCACCATAGAGGGCTTCCCTGGTGGCTCAGTGACAAAGAACATGTGTGCAATGCAGGAGACTCAGGAGACTTGGCTTCAGTCCCTGGGACAGGAAAATCCCCTGTGAAGGGAATGGCAATCCATTCTAGTATTCTTGTCTGGAGAATCTCATGGAAAGAGGAACCTGGCAGGCTACAGTCCAGAGGGCTGCAAAGAGTTGGACATGACTGAAGCAACTGAGCACAACAACACAGACTCACCATAAGTCAGTCTTCACACTGAATTCGAAAGCTCTGTGTATGTTTGAAACATATCCACTCTCTAGCCCCTACTTCCACAGGGAAAGGACAAAGGAGAGAACAAATAAAATGACACCTGGACTCATTCAATGCCAGGCAACAAGAGGAAGGGGCTTCCTCATGATTAGGACAGGAGCACAGATGGTTGTGCCAACTCCTAACTCAGAAATCCATTAGGAAGAGTCTCCTCCCACCTTCCAGGAAGTTCTCTCTTCTCTGATGTCAGCTTCCAACTTCTCAGCCTTCTGCTGCTCCTTCCGCAGCCTCATCAGAGCTGCCTGGAGCATCTCCTATAAGGGAGGAACCACATCAGCATCAAACTTTGGGCTTTTTCAGCACCTGGACAGAGAATAAACAGGGAAGAAATCATGCTGATCTCAGAAGAGACCAGTTTATGGAAACCAGTTTGAATCTGATCATTAAAATTGATAGCATGGGATGGAAGAATATCTGAGAAGGTAAATGCATTGCTTATTCCTAAGTGGTGAAAGTCACTATCCTTGCCAATTCTCTCTCTTTTTTTTAGCATAATTATTGATTCTGCTCTGGCAAGGAATGTCCTTTTTTCTCATTGACACTGTTTCTATGTCCAATCCACAATCTTCAACAGCACCCATTCTGCTGAGAGCTAATCTCAGCAACTAGAGCTAATCTGGTGAAAGAATTGCCAATCAATAAAACAAAAGAGACAAAAGAAGAAATCCTCTCATTTTCAGCCAAGAGTCTATACTTTTGGCTCCTCCTTTATGTAACCAAAGAAAAACACAGAAATGTCCTTGAGACATTGGAAGTTGAACATACAGTAAGAGACATACATCGGAGATTACAGAGCTCACTACTATGGTGCCAAACAGAGTAAATGAAAAGGTGAGGTTTTCCACCAAGTGCTAATTTCCATCCTGGGCCCTACCTGACTTTCCTTGACTGCCTCTTCCATGAGGAATGTGTGGTGACCGTGGTGCTCCTGAGATCGTACACAAAGTCGACAAATGACTTTTCTATCTTCCTTACAGAAGAGTAGGAGTTTCTCTTTATGGTGCACACAGAGACCTATCTTCTGCCCCTCCTCTGGGCTCAACTTGACCGTTCTGAGTCTCTTCACTATGTTGGCCAGATGCTGATTAGGCCATAGGTTTCCAAGCGAGTAGTGGGTACCACACACAGGACAGCTGCTGTCCCCTCCTAGGCTGGTATCTGTCTCCTTGTTGTCAGCGATGCAAGTCTGGCAGAAGCTGTGACCACAGCCTAGACTTAGGGGTTCTGTTAAAAGCTCCCGGCAGATGGGACAGGATAAGTCTTCCTGTAGGTTCACCACAGTATTTAAAGCCATAGCAGCTGCTCCCTGGCTTCCTCCTGTCCAAACTTCTGGAGCTCTTCTTGCTTAAGGATTCTGGGATGGTTAGGCAGATTAAAGAGAGATATGTAAGACTGGCATAGATAAAAAAGATTTCAATCAGGCAGACATTAAAGACTGATTAAGACTGAAATACTGAAGAACAAGAAAGAACAAATGGAATTTAATGGCCTGGGAAAGCCACTAAGGCCTCAGGGCTTTTGCAGTTTGCTTTTCTTTTACCCTACAATGATCTTTCCCTTGATATTTGCATGACTTCCTGTTATGCTTCATCTGACTCCCTCCTTACATGGCCTCTCCTTTGAAGAGCCTTCTGTGATTAACTCATCTACAGCACAAGCATCAATACATCACTTTTTGTGCACTTACCATCTTTTTCTTATTATCACTGCATAATATACGATACCTTTCTTGAAGTATCCTCCTCCGAAAATGTAGATTAGGCACTTGTTGTTATTCACTGCTGCATCCCTAATGCCTAGACCAGGGAACATAACATTTGATGAATACATAAAGGATCTTCTCACTTCTCCAGAGGAAATTAGACCTTAAAAAAAAATCAGCATTTCCTCTTTTCTTTCCATTAATTAGCTGTTCTCCTACAGGTGAGCTTTAGGACCACAGATAGGTTTCCAGTGAAGATTTATCTATGGATCAATCAATTGATTTTTCTATCTGTCTCTCCCAATATACCTTTCCATAAGGAGTCCTTCCACATACTTATACTCACTCCCCAGAGACACCAACAGACAGAGTAAACATTATAAGAGGAAAGTAATTTTATGACTAACAATTGCCTCAGTTCAGTTCAGTCGCTCAGTTGGATCTGACTGTCTGTAACCCCAGGGACTGCAGCACACCAGGCCTCCCTGTCCATTACCAACTGCCGAAGTCTACTCAAACTCATGTCCATTGAGTCGATGATGCCATCCAACCATCTAATCCTCTGTCGTCCCCTTCTCCTTCCACCTTCAATCTTTCCCAGCATCAGGGTCTTTTCCAAGAAGTGAGTTCTTTGCAACAGGTGGCCAAAGTATTGGAGTTTCAGCTTCAGCATGAGTCCTTCCAGTGAATGTTCAGGACTGATTTCCTTTAGGATGGACAGGTTGGATCTCCTTGCAGTCCAAGGGACTCTCAAGAGTCTTCTCTAATACCACAGTTCAAAAGCATCAATTCTTTGGCACTCAGCTTTCTTTGTAGTCCAACTCTCACATCCATACATGACTATCGGAAAAACCATAGCTTTAACTAGATGGACCTTTGTTGACAAAGTAATGTCTCTGCTTTTTAATATGCTATCTAGGTTGGTCATAACTTATCTTCCAAGGAGTAAGTGTCTTTTAATTTCATGGCTGCAGTCACCATCTGCAGAGATTTTGGAGCCCAAGAAAATNCCTGGCTTGGAGAATTCTGAGCATTACTTTACTAGTGTGTGAGATGAGTGCAATTGTGGGGTAGTTTGAGCATTCTTTGGCATTGCCTTTCTTTGGGATTGGAATGAAAATTGACCTTTTCCAGTCCTGTGGCCATTGCTGAGTTTTCCAAATTTGCTGACATATTGAGTGCAGCACTTTCACAGCATCATCTTTTAGCATTTGAAATAGAGCAATTGGAATTCCATCACCTCCACTACCTTTGTTCGTAGTGATGTTTCCTAGGCCCATTTGACTTCACATACCAGATGTCAGGCTCTAGGTGAGTGATCATACAATTGTGATTATCTGGGTCATGCAGATCTTTTTTGTATAGTTCTTCCAGGTATTCTTGCCACCTCGTCTTAATATTTTCTGCTTCTGTTAGATCCATACCATTTCTGTCCTTTATTGAGCCCATCTTTGCATGAAGTGTTGTTCCCTTGGTATCTCTAATTTTCTTGAAGAGATTTCTAGTCTTTCCATTCTATTGTTTTCCTCTATTTCTTTGCAATGATCTCTGAGGAAGGCTTTCTTATCTCTCCTTGCTATTCTTTGGAACTCTGCATTCAAATGGGTATATCTTTCCTTTTCTCCTTCGCCTTTTGCTTCTCTTCTTTTCATAGTTGTTTGTAACAATTGTCTAGCCAGTTAGAATGTATAAGTCACTCTAACCTATTTATTCTGCATACAAAAATCCTTGTGAAATGAGTACTCCCTTTATTCAGATGCATAAATAGAATCAAGTGACTTACAAAGATCATTCAAATCAGTAAGTTGAATTGGGGTGACTTCCCTGGTAGCTTAGATGGTAAAGCATCTGCCTACAATACGGGAGACCCAGGTGCAATCCCTGGGTTGGGAAGATCTCCTGGAGAAGGAAATGGCAACCCACTCCAGTACTGTTGCCTGGAAAATCCCATGGACGGAGAAGCCTGGTAGGCTACAGTCCATGGGGTCGCAAAGAGTCGGACATGACTGAGCGACTTTACTCACTTCACTCATAGTGTCTTCAGGGTCCTCTTTCAGAGGCCTGGTGGGTGTGATAAACACTATCACCTACAGGTACATATTTCTGAGATATCAAATAATTTTCCAAATAGGAAAATATCAAAGCTATTCCGACTGAATAAGATCTGAATGCAAAGCTGAATGATGAGAAGGGAATATGAAATGAGAGGAAAAAATATTTTAGAGAGAGGGAGTCACTCACATATGTCAATGTCCTTTTAGTGAAAGGCACGGCATCTTCGACCTGCTTTAAAATGTCAGCCTGACTGGTATGCAGAGAGCTGCTAGGCTTTCGGCATTGCAAGAGCCCAGAAGGGACCAGAAATTTTACACCTCCTACAGTATTCTTGCCTGGAGAATCCCACAGACAAAGGAGCCTGGTGGGCTACAGTCCATGGGGTCACAAAGAGTCAGATACGACTCAGCGACTAACACACACACACACACACACACACACACACATGATGTGAAGTCTCCTTCCAAAGAGCAGAGCTTCAGTGATGGAAGTTCGTGGGACAAGTTGATGGAAACAATGGAGAGAAGCAGAAGAGAGTGAGAGACGAGACAAAATGACAGGCTTGAGAATTAGAGACTGTGTATATGGGGATGAAGGATTATCATCAGGCTTAAGTCTTTTCTTCCTGTAAAAAGGAAGACATTGGCATTACCTTCTCCTAGTTCTGTACTTTTGTTATTTTTGGTAAAGAGAGACCTCAGCTTCCTCAAAGAAGTTGTGACTCTTATAGGGTCACCTGTAGGGTCCTAGAAGCTATGCTTCTGGTTCTTACAAAGTAATCAGTCAGTTGGCACAAAACTTACTTAAACTACATTAGTTTCATACATACAGACCTGATCTTGTTCTCTTGCAAATGACCTGAAGAGAGAGATGACGTACCACAATATGGCCCCTCACTGAGAGCCCGCCAGAGGCAGCCATACTGACTTCTGGGTCTCCTCTCCTCTATGCCCCTGCTAGGCTAAGTGAACCTGTTGGTTTCTGCCCTGCTAAGATACATGAGTGGGAATGGCAAACCAGACCTGAAACTAGCGCTAGTGGTCAGTTAGAGGTCCCATCACAGAGTGGTATCATGGTGATGCCGACTCTCAGAACCTGGACTCCTTATGTACAAGGAACTGTGAAGCAAAAAATTATAAAAGTAAAAATAAAGGAATATCTCAGTAGCTATTAATATCTTGGAACTTGCTATGATGGATTGTTTGTCCCCTATGCAAACACATTCACTTGCTTGAATGTGAGCTTATTTGAAAATAAGGTCTTTGCAGATGTAATCAAGCGGAGATGAGATTATAATGATACAAAGTGGGCTTTAAACACAATGACCAATATGCTTTAAGAAGACAAGAGGGCACACAGACAGACTGGAAAGAAGGCCATGTGACAATGGTGGCAGAGATTGGAATAGTGCAGCCACAAGGCAAGAAACGCCTAGGATTGCTGAAAACCACCAGAAACTAGGAGATGAACACGGAATAGAGTCCCCCTTGGAGCCTACAGAAAAGAAACAACTCTACCACCACTTTGATTTTGGACTTCTAGCCTCCTGAACTGTGAGAAAATAAATTTCAGTTCCTTGAACAACCCAATTTGTGATACATTTTTCTTTGTGACAGTCCTAGGAAACCAACACAGTTGCAAAGGTTTGATATTGAAACAAAGATCTGAGGGATTCATAAACTATAAACTTACACTTGCTCTAAAGAGTCGGGGAGAGGGGCATGATGAAAGCTGCATGGAGATAAGTTTAGCTCTAGAAATCTGTCCACTTCACCAATCATCCATGAAGTGAACCTGGTGAGAAGGAAAGCTGGTGGGTATAATCTAGCCAATGGAAGAGATACTGAAAATTGTCTAAAGGCCATATGTTGTTAATTCCTGGCTGCACTGACTATGTGTCAGATCAGGCTCTGATAACTGGCAAGGCCAGGGGTTTACCTAATATGACATTGTCCATCCTAGCTTACAACTGAAGCTATGAGCCAACATTGGCAAGATATGTTTTCATTCTATTCAGAACCCACTCAATACTGAGAAACACAAAGAGTCTACAGAGGAGGGAAGAGTAGAACATGCATTCTACTGTGGGGCTTTGGACCTCCTATTTAGAGTTTGGCTGCAAGGAACTGATGTCAAAGCGGATGCCACCATAATGGCTGCAAAAGCAGAAAGGTGCAGAGGAGCCAGAGCCCCCAAGCATGGGCAGTGACCCAACCAAGACTCCAGAATGACCCAAGAGCCCAGCAGCCATCTTTCAGGGACAGGGAGAAGGGAATACAAGAAGTATCTACCTGATAGAACTCCCAGGTCAGATAGTTGCCATGGTGTCAAACGAATGCATCCTACACTTGAGTCTTCTCATAATACCTGGATTTGTGATATTGTAAACTCTATGCTTCTCTGCAGATTAGACAGTAAAATTAAACTTCTCTAGAAAGTGGAGTGCAGGGAAGGATGGCCCTAAGAGCTTCTAGACAACATCCCAGACACTTCTCTGGGTTTCCTGAGTCAGGAACTACCAATGAGAAAAGCAGGCCTTTAAGTCTCTCACATTCGTAAGATTGTGCTCAATTATCTTTTCACAATGAGGCCTTTGGGACTTCCCTATTGGTCCAGTGGTTGACTCCACCTTCCAATGCAAGGAATGCAAGTTCGATCCCTGGTTGGGGAACCTAGGTCCTACATGCCACAGGGTGTGACCAAAATTTGTAAAAAATAAATCAATGAGGCTTCAAGATCACTACTTAAAATTGCAAAGACCTTTACTGGGTCTTTGCAGATCCCTCAGCCTGAGTCAACATTTAAAAAATGTTCCTCCATAATATTAGTCATCTTCTTATATACTACATTAGTTTTGTTTGTTTATCTCTTCCCAGCTATAATGTAAGCTACTATATGTATTTAACATTTATTGTATGTTGAATGGATATTCATTGTATTTTTAAAAGCCAGCAGCCTGCTTTAGTTCCATGAATTACATCTTAAAACAAATGAATAAATCCATTTTTCTCCTATTTATGGCATCTTATTTTTGACCCTGAGAAGACAATTGTTATCTGGGCAGAAGTGGATACTATTCAAGAGTAAGGCATAAACTCACAGAAAGGCAGTAACAAAGACTTCTAAAAAGTGGGCATATAGAACAGAGTGGCCATGTATCAGAATGTATGTAAGACATCAGTCCTTGTGTGTATGTAGCACAGCTTCTTTATCCATTCTTCTATCAATGGACATTAAGGTCCCACTCTATGGCAGAGGGAACTATACTCAATATCCTATGATAAACCTAATGGAAAGGCATATAAAAAAGTAATATATATATGTATAACTGGATCACTTTTCTGCCTAGCAGAAATTAACACAACATTGTAAATCAACTACACTTCAATAAAATAAATTTTAAAATAAAAAAATAGGATAATAGCAATAAAAGAAGATATCAATCACTGTGAAATGCGAGCTTAAGATGGGACATCCTTAGTGTCAATCAATAAGAGCAAACTTCCTAGTAAGACCACTGAGTCTTTGGGCTCCTTCTGAGCAATAATCAACTCCTTATTAATTAGTGGTCTATTGTAAATAGTAAGTAATTGAGGGAGCAATTACTGCAAAGGTGTGTCTAAGTGGAAGAAGAAGGAAGAAAAGCTCCAAGGCAGGACAGACTACTGAAGAGAGAGTGGCAGGTCTCTTCAGGGAAGGGCAAGCAGATTCCTGAGACTGGACCTCAGCGGGACACACGATAAGCGGAAGCCACAGAGGTGGGCAGCTGTCATAACATCCAACCTGCCATCCCCAGGCAGGACAGAAGCTGAGGGGATGTCAGGAAGGCCACAGACAGCCCCTCGGTGGTGCCAGGAGGAGGGTGAAAGGATCAACTTCAACACTGCCCCCGGCCATGCTCCCAAGGCTCCATTCTGTCTGATGCTCCATACAAGAAGCTGGGGCTTCACACAGGTGGAAAACAGGGACCTCCTTCACCAGGTTTTCCTCCGAGAAGGTGGAGGTGAGCAGATTTTCTGTTCATCTCTTTATGAGACACATACACACACACAGACAGAAAGATAAACACACACAGAGACAGAGAGAGAGGATTCTATTTCCTCTCAGGAAGGTAGACAATCAAAGCTATGGTATAGGAAAGAGACGCGGATGGACTCAGCCTGGAGAAATAAGTGCTCCGGAAGCAAGCAAGGCCCTCTGCCTCTTCCACACTCACTTCTTTCCAGGCTGTTCTTTCTCTAGACTCAGAGCTGCCATCTGTCTGCACTCAGCAGGAAGCCTGCAAGTTGGCTTTTTTGACCTTCGGAGCAAGCCTGGGCCACAATCTAAACTCATCCAATTAAGCCTCGTACTTTCCTTCCAGAGTCTCCTGCCCTCTGTGCCTCCACAAACCTCCCCACACACCTTCAGCTTCCAGAGAAGACTCTTGGTTTCAGCGGTGAAGAAAAGCAGGGGCCATCATGATCAGAATTCACTCACCAAACAAGGCTCAGTCTGCATGAAGCAGTTTCTTATGAGGAGCTGGCAGAGAAACGAAAGTGAAATCTTGGCCTGGCAGGAAGAGGAAGACGGAAGGAACTCTGGGCCAGCTGGCAGCGGTCCCTTAGGGCCACTGGTAAGAGCAATGCTTTAAGCCAGGGGTTCTCCAGAGGGGCGGGGCCTTTGGCCTCTGTGACAAATGTGGTTGTGGGGGATGTTACTGCCGTCTAGTGGAAAGAGACCAGGGATGCAACCAACCATTCTATAATGAACATGACGGCCCCCACAACAGTGTCCTGTCCAAAATGCTGAGGTGGAGAAGCTCTGTTTCCTAGACCGGCTAGAAGTGGAGGGTCTCCGCCACTTTCATAATTGTGCACAGGCCCTCAGTCAGTCTACCATTTAAAAAAAATATTTATTTGGCTGTGATATATCTTAGTTGTGGCATGTGGGATCTTCAATCTTCATTGCAGTATGTAGGATCTAGTCCCCTGACCAGGGATCGAACCTGGGCCACCTGCTCTGGGAGTGCAGAGTCTTAACCACTGGACTACCAGGAAAGTCCCCCAGTCAACCAATTTGAATCAACCCTTCCTGTCCAATGTTCTATTTGCTCCCCCAAAGCATTACACCATCTCCTAGGAGATGGGAGTTGAAACCACACCTGATGGGAATAACCTTGAGCAGAGAAGCCCCTATCAAAAGTCTCCCACCATCTTGGGCACAGGATAATCCTAGCACATTATGTCTCCATGAAAAGTTTTATTTATTTATTTATTTATTTAGCTTTATTGAGGAAATACAACTAAAGGACTAATTTTTTTTTTTTTTACTTAAAAAAAAATCCCTTTTAAAAATTTTATTTATTTATTTTTGGTTACACTGGATCTTGGTTGCTGTGTGGGGGCCTCCTCTAGTTGCAGTGAGTGGGGGCTACTCTTCATTTTAGTGCACAGGCATCTGTGGTAGCTCTTTTTGCAGAGCCCTGGCTCTAGGCGCCTGGGCTTCAGTAGTTATAGTATGCCGACTCAGTAGTTGTGACTCGTGGGCTCCAGAGCATGAACTCAATAGTTGCGGCACATGGGCTTAGTTGCTCTGCAGTATGTGGAACCTTACTGGACCGGGGATCGAAACTGTGTCCCCTGCATCGGCAGGCGGATTCTTATCCACTGCATCACAAGAGAAGTCCCTAGGCTAATTTTTTGTTCTGTATCCATTGAGGAAATCCTGGGTTCTCCTATACTCTTGGAGAACACATTATATAAGAAAAAATGCCACCTTTGGAAACTGCTTTCCAAGGTGTAATTATCCCTTCTGCCCTTTCCCATCTTCTGACTCATACTTAGAGACGAGGGACAAATCCAATGCAAGAAGAGTCCCCCAAATTGTTGAAATTTTAACAACTTTCTTGTAAAAATTTCTGTATCCATTATAGGTGGACCTATCCTTTGACCACTTTTAAGAAAGTGATTATTCCCTTTCCATTTAGATAGTGAAAACTAGAATAAAATCAATAGACAACAAGTTATAGAGTTATATAAATAGATCAGTAGTTATGACCTATGTTTCATGCTCACACATGCTGTTTTTTACATCCAAATAACACTTAGAGCAAAAGAAAAAAGTACTTAGGTATAAAGCTGGAAAACTATGGATAGAATATGTATGCTGAAAATTAGGAAGTGCTGATAAAAATAAAAGGAAGCATATAAATGGAGAGGCATAACAGACTTATGAATTTGAAGACTCAACATAAGGGAGATGGGATATCAATTTTTACAGAATAGATATATACATATTTAATAAAATTCTATCAAAATCTCAGCAAGAATTTTTGTAGATATAGATACACTTATTCCAAAATTTATAAGGAAAGAAAAAAAAAGACTTAAAATATTTAAAACAACTAAAGAAAAACTAAAGTGTGAGGAGTCACTATACTTCATGTTAAAGGTTAATATTTGGCTACATTAACCAGTAGTCATTAACAAGATAGTCATCATTGGCAAGGCAATAGACATATAGATCAATGGAACAAATGACAAAAACCAAAAGCAGACTTACAGAAATATGCCCAGCTGATTTTGGACAAAGGCACAAATGGAATTCAGTGGAGAAATAATTGCTTTTGTTAACAAATTGTGCTGAAGCAATGAACATCCAAAGGAAAAAAATAAATAAATATGAGTCTTGACCTAAATTTAATCCTTTATACAAAAATTAATTCAAAGTTGATCACTGACTTAAATATAAAATAAATATTCATAAAACATTTAGAAAAATTTTGTAAGAAAGAAAATCCATGGAAACTAGAAGTAGGTAAAGAGTTTTCAGGGGACACCAAAAGCCAAACTCATAAAAGCAAAAGTTAATAAATTAGACTTATCAACTTAAAAGACTTTAAGAAGTTTTAAAAATTAAAAACATTTACTCTGAAAAAGTATCTGTTAAGATGAAAAGACAAGCTACAGGCTGGGATAATCTATCTGCAAACCACACATGTGTGACAAATGCCTTTTATTTAGATTATATTTTTTAAAAAACTCCCTAAACTTAATAGTTAAAAAGAAAAAAAGAATCCAGTTAAAAAACAGGCAATGAGACTTCCCCGGTAGTCCAGTGGCTAAGACTCCATGCTCCCAAGGCAGGGGGTCCAGTTTTAATCCTTGNCTGGTGGTGTCTTTCTTGGAGTGGAGAGAAGTATTTACATGCAGAAAATAAAGTAGGATAAGTTCACATTAAAACAAAAATAAAAAAAAAAAAAAAACAACAAAAAAACAGGCAAAACACATGAAATGACATTTCACTGAAGAGGAGTATTCAGATGACAAGCAAGGACATGAAAAATGTACATCATTAACATTTAGAAATATGCAAACTAAAACTACAATGAAAAGCAAACTAACTGAAATAAAAAATAGTGATGACACCAAATGTTGGTGAGGAAACGGAAGATCTGAATCACTCATGCACTGCTGGTGGGAATATATTAAAGTGGAGCCACTCAGGAAAACAGTCTGGTGTCTTCTTATAAAAATAAATACAAACATCCTACAATACAGAATTGTGTGCTTGAGCATTTACTCTAGAGAAATAAACACTTACACAATTATTTATCAATGGTAATTAATCTATAATTACTTCAGAATAAAAAACTTTTTAAAAAATTTGCTGAATGTGAAATAAAGATATCTTAAGACAAACAAAAATGTAATAATTATTATTATACATCAAATACATATAACACTATATGCCTGACACCATTCTAAGCACTTTACATACATTAGCCTATTTAATCATCTTATGAACTCCATAATGTTGATTAAATAATCCTAATTTAAGGATGAGGAAGTGAAAGTAGACAGATATGAATAATACTCAAAGCCTCAACGCTTTCAAGCTTAAGGAGAATTTTCTGTGAATAACCAATAAAAAAAGACACAAGAGAAAAGACTTACACATAGCTATTAATATTTAAAAGTTTATAAAAATATTAACAACTGAAAATAAGCAAATACTCAAAATGTGACAGTGAAAACACAGAGTATTATGTTATTTGTAAAAAATAATAAAGAGCAATAATGGCAACATAGAGTTTTCGAGACTTCAATGGGAAAAAGCAGAAACAATCAGAACCATTTCAGAGATTTAATAGCCAAGAAAACAAATTTGACAAAAGAAAAAGATTTGCTCCTGCCTTTGCCTTTTCCCTAGTAGATTTCCATTTCCTCAACTGTAATACTGTTTTAAGGGGTCCAAATGACGACGATGTGAGGTAATGTTCATAAAATGCTTAGCATGGAGCTGTAACACAAGTCGTTAACAAATGGTAGCTATCATTACTTCATAAGATGAAATATGACTCTCCAATAGAGGTTTAATCTCAATAGCAATGAAAAATAAATTAAAATTGTAGTACAATATCATTTTTGTTCTTTTGTTCTTAAAAATGAAAATACTCAGCCTCATTATTAGTGCAGAAAGATACAGTATGAATCTTTTCTGAGAGTAATTTTATAGGATTCATTAAAAATACAATCAATCCACAGCAGCATTTCTGAGACTTTATTCTTAAAATAAAAATTGAAAGATCAGAGCAAGCTTAGTTATATTCAGAGAAGTCTTGTATATACAGTTAAAAATGGAAAGCTCTAAATAGACAATAATATTGAAAATGTATGAAATTACATATCCATGGAACAAAGAATGTAAGGTGGGATAATGTAAAGAAAAGCTATCATTAGTTTTCTCCTGACTAGGAATTTTTAAAAATATTTTTGCTATTTCCCAACTGTCTCACATCGAGCATTTGCATTTTATTTTAAAAGACAATACTTAATTTATTTAGAACACACCTGGACTGTATATTTAAATAACAAATTGAATGAGACTTAAATTTGTGAATATATAGCCATAATACCAGGTAAAAGGATTTAAAAAGGGAATGCTTGGTTAAATAAGTAATTGTAAAGCCTTGCAATGAAATACTATATAAAGATAGTAATGAGTTTATAAATTCATAAACATTGGAAATTAATAGGACATCAAAGACCACTGTTAACATGAGGATTGAAAACCCATACCAGATGTTCACTCAAATGTCATTACAGCCAAACTTGGCCAAGCTAATATGTTCACAAAAGGAGTGTGAAATGAAATTATTTTGGCAAAAAGTCAGGCTTTATGTTGACTTTTTTTCCCAATATCAGCAATATTCAGCCAGAAAAAAAGATAAGTTATAGACCATGTATATAGTATCATCCATAATCTATACATCTATACATGTATCATAATATTTCCTTATAGCAAAAGGATAGATAAAGCTAAAAATAGATTCAGAAGGAAATAAAGTACAGATACAGATTAAGATATAGATTTAGATATAGATGGAGACAGACATAGATATATAAGTATATAAATACAGATGTACAACTACAGAAAAAAATTTTAATGATAAAATTGCTTGAGGGCTGTTAAGTTTATGAGTCCATGAGTTTCATTTCATGTTTTTCTTTTTTCTAATGTTTTCTACAAAAACTATCGATTTTAGTCAAATAAGTATTAAAATAGAGCTACGGACAA